CTGTGATTTGTCCATAGTAGCCAATGTCTTTTTCATCCATAGAAAAGTGCCATTTAGAAGAAACCTTGAGGTGTGAGTTTATTGGCCAGGGAATTATTTCCACAGTTCCTTCCTCCATATAAAACTTCAGGACTTTCTCCATCAGATGGCTGCAGTTGTTCTTATAGATCACAACTTTCTGCACCCCAAGAATCTTGTACATTTCCATACTCTGTATAAACTGCAAGACATTGTTGTAATTTCCAAACATGGCAGAGATGCATACAGTGAAGTCAACAGAAAAGGTCTCAGCCTTGCGGTTTTTAATTTCAAACCTTGGCAGCTGGTCAATATTTCCATGTGGAGACTGATGAATTGATACATACGTTGGATCACAGTTTTCAGGTTCCAAACAAACTATATCAGCTGCGCCATAAGGGAATCCAAATCTGTCCGAGTGAATATCAATTTTTGCTTTTGATACATATATCTTACCATCGGGATGACAGCAGAACCAGCAGTATAACTCTTTTACATCTTCATGGTGTACAATCCCAATCACACGAGTCACTTTGCTTTCTCTGTCGTCAAAGTATGGGGATATAATAAAAGTTCTGTTATCTTTTAATGGAGTTATTACATTTTGAGCAATTTTTCCCCTACAAAGCTGACCTGTTGGACTAGTGGTTGTTGCCTGGGGGAAGATTTTTCTACTTATCTTATTGTGTAGCTGAGGATCTTTCCAGGAGCAGATTAAAATGCTTGCAAAAATAAGAATACACGCAACAACAGCACAAATATGTTTTTTCCCGCAGTGTAGCATTTCTGCATTTCACAATTTGGAACTTAACAGACCTTTACACTCAGTCTTCTATGCACTTTCTCTAAAATAAAACAAACACATTAAAAAAAGCACACTTTCAATGATTTGCCAAAAAGTAATATTTTGTATTGAACTGCATTCTCCTAAACACAATAGTTACTCTTTTCATACTTCAGACTTTAGAATGAAGACCTCCATTTTCATACAGGTTTGAAAAAAATGAGACATTCTCTTACACTTACTCATTCCAAACTTTACTGTAATTTATTCTACAGTTGGGGTCCAGTGCAAGAGTTATCCTTTTCCCCTATTCTTCCTAAAAGAAAAAAAAAGCAGCACCATGAACACAAATTCAGACTGCACTCTTCTGTATTGGGTAAGAGTAATTGTGTCAGACTGTGTCCATATTTCAAAACCACATAGCCTGGTGTATTTTCAGAACTTGGTGTGTTTTCAGAGCGTAGTAGGATCCGATGTTATTCAACATTATAGAGGAAGAGAAATTTGAAAATGACAACTTTTTCCCATGTTCAAATGGCTGTGATTATCTTAAATGTAAATTTATTTTGCCAGTAAAGTGGCCAAGTCTCAAACCACAGTTCTAAATCAGCAGTTGATTTCAGTAGGACTTTTTGTGAATATTGTGACCACATGCACTTCTGAACTTTTTAACCTTGCCATCAAAACTTTGAGCTCTCTAAACTATGACCAAATCAGACTACCAAGGGAAGATACTCAGTATACAATCACAGCTCAATACTTAAAAATTCCACAGTCTTCTGCTGACCAATTGCCCAATACAGAATGATATTATCATTAACAGGCAAACCATCAGCCAAGCTCCTCCCTCTGCTGCCACATCACACACCAAAGATCTAAAGTGCTGGACAACCGGAGGGAGGAACAAGACAATTCACTCACCCACTGCAGTGGGCATAAAGAAGGGAGTGAGCTGTGTGAGAAGCCAGGCTCTGGGAAATGGAAACAGCCAGGCCATGAACCCAGTTCTACAGCAGGGATTCAGAGGCAGCTTCATGTTCTGGCCCTGCCATCCTGGGAACCCCACTTGCCATGAAGAGTCAGGGAGCCCTTCCCGTAGCCAGAATCCTCACACAGCACATCCACTGTGTGGGCAGCCTCCCAACCCCACTGCAGGCAGAGTCAGCTCTGACAGAGGCGGCTTCTTGCCCCACCTCCAAGTTACTGTGGAAGGTGGGGACACCTGGTGGGGATCTCTTCAAGAGTTCCCACCCAAGGCTGGCCAGACCCTGGGTAAGAACCAATCAGGAGGGTCTTTCTTGCCTGGTTGTGGCCAACATCCGTCTGCCAACCCTCATTCAGGGCTGGGGTTTAAACCCCAGCACTTTACAGATGAAAGGCAAATTAAAACAAAACTACTTTATTCTATGAGCAGCCAGGAGGGCATGATACAATGTGACATACCATAACACCACACTGGGACAATTAACCATTGTCTGTACTATTTGTAGAGTGCATACAAAAGAGGCCAGAACACCTATCTCAGCTGAATAACAACCGCTTCCTAATTATGCACAAAACTGTCACTTCAGTTGTAGCTCTATTCTGAGTTTGTAGTACTAGGTTTGAAGAACACAATGAAAGCACTGCTGCCTGGTGTAATTTGAAAATCCAAAATGTTGCGTGGCAGTTCTTTTCGTTTTTTGGCCTAAAAATGTAAGAAGTTATTTTGAATGATGTATAATGATTCATTCTCTGAAATTAAAACATGTTGCCCTCTGAAAATTGTCATGTAAGCTGTACATCTTCCCCTTTCATGTAAGTACTCACCAATTGTGAGATTACACTGCATGTGCAGAATAGTTTTTCTGTTTACAGGAATACAGGGTCCAGGCTTCTTGTGGTTTGTTTGTTTGTTTTGATACAGATGCTAAGTGCAGAAATTATTACACTGTTTTGGTGAAATATGTTTTCAACTGTCAGTCTTACACCAAGTGGCAATATGCCTTAAAAATTTCCTGCTAATTTAGGCTTGGGAAATTTACAAGACAATCGCATTTTTAGGATTTAGGTAACTTTAGAAAATTAGTAGTCTCTTCCTTCACTAAAGACCTAATGTTAAAATCCACTCATGGATTTTACTGTAATTTACCCCTTTTTCTTTTGGAACCCCACTACTTTCTAGCCAATGCAAAACCAGAGTAATTTCTATATATTCCCCTGCACAGAAGTCTCCATCTTAGTTTTATATTCAAAGCAGGAAGTTCACTCAAATGTTCCCTTGCATCTCACATCTCCTATGTGAAACAATCTGTTGCCCATTTTTAACTACGTGCTAACAAACTTTTGATATAGTTTCTCTTCACAAGTTTTGTATGCATACATTATCCACTTTGGGCAATGCAAATTCATCCTAATTTTTTTTAGACTAGCAACACATAGTTTTAGCATGCCAAAAGCATTATTAATCACTTGATCTAGAAAAAAGCAAACAAGCATTCTTATTAGAAACTAAAGGCCTCCTAGGGCATGAAAGGTGACTATGAGTAAAACTTTATAGACACGAACAATAAAGGAATAAGTAAGTCCCTTTTATGGAAAGAGGTCTAGAAAAACTATAGCAATGCATAGATATTTATATAGTCTGTTTAAATAACCTACTGTTTTTTTCCTCAAATAATTGTTTAGCTTCTGGAAATCTCAAGTGGTTGCTAACCTTAATTCCATTTCTGTCTTCCATCTTGATCCGCTAAAAGGGACATTACTTGACATATGAATTTTTCAAGAAAGGAATGGCATCAGTTCCTAAATATTAAATATGATTTTGGCTTCAAGCATGGGCCACCTCTTTTGGAATCCACAGGCTGCAACCATTATCTGATATCCACTGAAATTTGGAACTCAAGTGCTAAGTCTCTCTTCTAGCTGGGATTATTTAGAGAGGAAAAAAAAAAAAAAAAAATAGCAACAGCAGCATCTCAGCTATTGTCAGAGCGATAATTTCTGACCAGAAATGGTCACTGTCATTCTAAAAAAATTTTTACTCACTTGGAGCTAAGAAATACTTATTGTATTGCTTTGTACTGTCCTTTTTTCAGATGAATATATGCTGGCAAAGCCTCACTTCATATCAGATGACATTCCAATGTTAAGCAAACGACCACTGTTTCACTGTGTCTGATACCACTGTGGTCTTCATTACTGAAGAAAATATTTAGTGTGCTCTGAAACTGAAAAATACCACTCCTCTTTTAAAGAGGAGTTTAAAAATGTTAGCAACTCTGGACCTTGTCTGCCTGTTTAGGTTAATGCCGCTTGTAGTACAGAGAAGAAACTAGAAGATAACATTTTACTCAAAGGTACGTTATAACAACAAAGTTCAATAAACTTATGCACACAAAAAAATAAAAGCCTTGCTTTTGAAGACTGTTTTAGTGAAGCTTTATAAAACACTGTCACCCATTTTGCCTGGAATAGTTAGACCAAACCTCAGCACTTTTTAAAATTTCTACATAAGAAGAAAACAATAGATTCCATGTTTGTGACGTGCAGTCTTGGTATTTGACCAGAACGCACAAAATCACGCCTTCCTGAACATAAGAGGAATCAAATGACAGTGTATTTACTCACAGTTTCAAACTTCTTTGTCTAGTGTTTCATCCTTTTGAGTGCTCCAGTTCTGCTTTATGCTCCCACTGCAATGAGAGACCTTGCAACCTCGCTTGTTCCCCAGCATCTGCTTCCTCTACAATTGTACTTTCGACGGTCTGTGGGAAGTCACGTGACTTGGTTAGCTTCCTGTAGAGCAAATCAGTTTGCTTTCTGTTCTGTCATTTTGTCAAGTTAAAAATCTATAACTTCATCGAATGGTCCATTCTTCATTTGATGTTTATACCATCTCAGCCTTTCAATAATAATCACATTTGTTAACCGGGAGAATGATAGATTATTATATTACTCTATTTATGGTGTCTGTGTGTATGCTCTTGGAGATTTATCTCGATCAAGACTTAAATACTTCCCATCAGCTGTAACCTGATGTGTTTCAACAGTCTAATCTTAAATAGTCCCTGGTGTTTTTCAGAGTTCTCAGGCAAGCTTAGTCCTCTGTTAATATTCTCTTTGACTTTACAATGACACAAAATCAGCACAGTAATTGTGTGCACAGTTGTGAGACCAGAAAATAAAACTTAGTATTTAATCACATCAATGTTTAATACACCACAGCAGGTGTGTGAAATAATATCTGGATATTGACTCAAGTTATAACTTGAGTCAACACTTGACTTGCTGGTAGAGCTGTATTAATAGCTAACAGAAACACTAACTTAAATGGAAGGAGTAGACTGGGTTGGGAGACATGCAAAATAATTAGAATATTCTGGGTTTGGGAGACAAACTGCATTTACCTGCTTTCCTAACTATTTAGAGATAAAAACTCTCAATTTCTCTTAGTAGGAGCATGATGCTTGCAATTTTTGATTTAAATAACTTATTTCTCTGCAAAGGCACAGATCTTCAGCTGTCTGAGAGGGAAAAAGGAAAATTGTAGGGGGTGACTTGATTACAGTGAAGTATTTTGAAAGGGAAAGCTAAGTTGTAACTACTCAGCAATGGCAGTTCATGACTAATGAACTTCCTGGCACGGAGGACAAGACGACCTAACTGCCAAATGTGTTAAGCTGTTTGGGAGCAGGAATACCAGAAAGAGAATGTCTCCATATGAGGGAGAAAACACTCCACAGCTGCTAAGATAAGAAATGTCACAGAAACTGCTGTGTGTAAGAGTGTTTCAGAGCCACCTTTGGCCAGCAGAGCTGGCACTGGGGGACAGACTCTGATGTGCTGAGGAGCCCATGCTGAGGCACACAGGATCAGCTCTTGTGTGCTCGTGCAAGTGTATATAGGGAGCTTGCTTGTGTCATGTCTTTGCAGACTCCTTGTAGAACTGCTTATGGCAGTGGGACTATGGTGAATGCATTGTTCATTAGATCTCTCTATAATTAAGAACAAACACGTGT